GAACAGAGTAGAGTAGAGTAGAACAGAGTAGAGTAGAGTAGAGTAGAGTAGAGTAGAGTAGAGTAGAGTAGAGTAGAGTAGAGTAGAGTAGAGTAGAGTAGAGTAGAGTAGAGTATCCCTGTTCCAAACGCAGTTAGAGACTCTTTGTCATCTCTATCCACAAACAGACCGAACGCTCTTCTCACAAACCAGTCCATATTTGAGACACAGGAGAGGAGGGACAGGACCGGACCGATGTGAGGGGACGTCAGCACCATAGACTGCATGTATGGACCGAGCCTACGTTTGCAGCCGTTTGTGTAAAATGCAGAGTTCTTATGGATTTCTGACGGTGGAGATTTATGCAGTGAGTGTTTTTAGCCGCTGCTCCGACTTCAATCAATACATTTTGACAGCTTTCATTTGTTCTCATTTACAACACTGGAGACTTGGACTTCTACTTGTTGCTGGAGCAGTGTTCTTTTATCAAAACCCTTCCCCGCAGGCGCATGAACACATAGGACGCCGACATCCGAGAGAAAAAAGCGTTCAGAAAGACATCTTTGCAGTGCGGCTGTGGGACGTGTGTGTGAGGAGTGTGTTGTGGTTTTGGTCTGCTGCTGATTGTCTGGAGGAAACCAAACGATGAGGATTGGAGAAGACTCGGTAACTTCACAGAGGTCCTGTTACAGTGTGGTGTTGTGCAAAGTATGGTGAGTCGCACGGCTCAAACTTCACAGAGAAAACTAGATCATGAGGAGAACACACAAAACACTCATGGGTGAACAAGATCTGCTCCTGGTGTTTGTGAGGTAATATTAGAACCTTGTTTCCACCAGTTCAACTCTACTCTACTCTACTCTACTCTCTGCTGTGCATGGTTGTGTTTCCGTTAAGCTTTATTGTCTGGCACCAACCTACCCACACACAAACCAGTATATCCAGGGACATTCCTTGGTTCCAACAGCACTCTGGTCAATCACTGTCAGTTACAATTCTTTAGAAACGTTTAAGACTATAGAAGGACCTGGTACTGGTTAAACAGGGCCAGTGGAAACACTTCCAATCAGGGAAGAGTAGAGAAGGGCTGAGTAGAGTATAGAGAAGAGAAGGGCTGAGTCGGGTAGAATTTAATGTAGTAGAGTAGAAACAGGTGGAAACAGGCTGTAGACAGATATTATTGCACTGTTTTGCTGTAGGATGCCAGATAAAACCTGATGTGTCTTGTGTGGATGTGTTTTAAATGAACATTAAACATATGATTAAGTTATGAATGATTCATCCACTGATGAACACATTCTGTTGTTCCTGCTACAGGGTCCTGAGGCAGTTTCTTTCTGCTCTTCTGGATAGAGAGGGCCAGGTCAAGGAGACTACTTCTAAAAAATAACTTATCAGACCTGGGATCAGTTAAGAAAGGACAGGAGTTACACATACTAACTAAAGGATGACTTCCACGCTGCTGATATCTGAAGTAGAGTTGTGTTAAGCCTGGTTCACACGGCAGGATAATTAGGCCGATTTAAAACCCAATTCAATCTTAAAAACGCTCCGATTTTGCCATGTGTGGTGTGTTAAGACTGCACTCGGGACTGCTCTGATCTCAAATCAGGGATATCCAAAATGTTTTTTTGATTTTTTTGGCCCGATTTCTCTTTGTTGCCAGTGGAATGCGGCGTGCAGCCAAGCGAGGTCACGAGGCAGCAAAGAAACACCAGGAAAAAAAATCCTAACAGTCAGCGGCATGGCGCACCAGAAAGTCCGGTGGACGTGGGAGATGGAGTATAGGTCACGCTTGATCTTGAGAGATTTTGCGAGATTTCTGTGTGGTTTGTGTGATTTTGCCTCGTGGCTGCGCACCACACACTGTACGACCAAAGTGGTTAGACCCTTGATTTTTTATCTCCGGGTAAAAAGGTTTGGAAAATTGGCCTACAATTTTTAAATTGTCTCGTGTGAAACAGGCTTTAGTTTACTGCTGTCTGAATGTCTGGTCACTTCCTCACTGGGGGCTGATGGCTTCTGGGGGCCCTGAGGGTTCATGACCTGGCATGTGCATATCAATAAACTTCACTGTTGTGTTTCATTTTACTGTTTAGACCAGGCATGTCCAAACTCAGGCCCGCAGGCCAACTCTGGACCTCCATGTCACATTATGTGGCCCTCCTTCGCTTACTTAAAGTAGTCATATAGATCATGAACACAAGATCACAGTGTATGTGTGAAAAAAATCATTATGGATATAGTATGCATGTATTGATTTTATGGTTAGTGATTTAATATGATGTGAATGAGAGTTGTATTGTCTGTGTGAGGTGCGGTTGTTTTGTAAAGGTTTGTGTGTGTGTGTGTGTGTGTGTTTGTGTGGATTTCATGTATCCAGGAACTGAAGAATGGAAACTAGCTATTGCTAAAATCTGGAACAAATCAGTCTTTGAGCTTAATGTTGCTGTGCACGGTCCGTTTCACTATCAAGTAATGTTGTGACGCTCAGGATCTCTGGAATCCTGTTGTTTGACTTTATTTCTATACACTGACATTTGTTGTTGATTGTGTCAGTCATATCCAGTCAGAACTGTTTTTCAATACGGGTCGTCGGCCCCTGGTCGTCCATTGACTATGTTTACGCCCTTGTCTACGCACCAAACCCAGTTAATTTTCTAAATACAATGATTTTGAACAAACAATTATTTAGATGGTTATGGATAGTTAAGTTGTTTAGTGTGAGACAGTGATGCAGCTTCATCCTTGGTGATAAACTACTACTGTAGCCACAGCTGCCCTGGGGCACACTGACAGAAGCGATGTGCAATCGGAAACAAACACCCATAAAAGGAAATTGGCTCCAGCTAGGTGAAGTTCAAATCGGCCTCTTCTGCATTAAGGCTAACACTACGGTGATCTCAAATTTGCTCACTCCACTATCGATATACAGTCTGTGCGTGTTCCTAGAGGTCTCCCATCACTGTACTAACCAGGCCATGCCCTGCTTAATACTTGACTTGCTTTTATAGAAATGTAAAAGCACTATATAAAACCCATGCATTTATTATTGTTACCAAGAGGCCTACCATTATCCTGTGTGTTTGGATCTATCCACTTTAAAACAATCAAACAAATAGAGTTTTAATTTTCAGCCCTTACTTTTTGACTATTATTACTTCATTCTACATGACAAACTGGCACAGCACACACTCGCACAAACACGCTTTCTGTGTTCAACTCCGGCACCAATGACATCATAAGGCACGTGAGGATTGGTCATGTAGATAGTTGCCATTCTTATAAACTCCCCCAGAATATTGGCGTTTTAAAGATTAAGTATATCACAATGATTGACAAAAGTGTGAAGGAATAGTGCTCCCAATACTATTAATGACCCAAGACCTCTGATGTCACATGAGAGAGCCCCATCGCTGTATAGCTCCAGATACAGACAAACATGTTTAGGTAGTTTGTGGTGTTGATGGAGTCACAGTATGCAGTCTGGGAAGAAGAATTACACATTTGCATCACCTGTGTCATAAGGAAGAACTGTTTTTGAACTGAACGGATCAAAAGGGAATGTGTAACGGCTGGACTTGCATATACAGTGATGTGAAACACATACAATGTTTGGGTCTTGGTTCATTGAAGACAGAGGTGTCCAAACCAGTCCTGTGGCCAAGCAGGATCAGAGCAGACTCCACCCATTTCCTCAAATCCAGATTCAGTTGAGGACATGGATGGAGTCTGCTGTGCCCGTGAGTACCGGTTTGGAGACCTCTTTTTTAAGAGTAAAGAATGTCGACTGTGTGCTGCTGTGTGAAGTTTACAGGGTTTAACTGTCACAGAAATGTTTTGAAGTGAAACATTCTGTTAGCACGTGCGAGGACAAAAGCATTGCAAAGATGGTCTTTCCTAAAGTCACATTTGAGCTCTCAGGGGACAGGGGGCACCGTGAGGAGATCTCATAAAAAGTCCTTGAGTATGTGTGCGTGCACATTGGACAGGGAGAAGGAGCAGAGTTTCAGAGTAAAAAGCAGCACCATTTACTATAGTAACTGTATTTTGATAGAGTCTGTTGCACCTGTCTGTTCAGGAGTCCAACACATCAGAAGAACCACTTCCAACTAAATGCACTAGAAAAGTCCTGCGCAGACCAGGACTAATCAACAAACTCAACCAAGTGATTCTCTGTGCAGGAAGTCCGGCCGGATCAACACTTCTCAAAGAAACCGTGACAAGTCTGAACAGTGTCTGAATATAATATTGTTGGAACAGAACCTTAGTACAAAGGAGTTTTCCACGTCATTCTTTGCAATTTAACTGCAACAATATCACATGAGCATCAGCAACTACATTTCCCTTGGAAATACAAACATGAATATTATAAGGTGCAAATTGCATTATTCAATGAAGTCACCTTGTAGGAGAAGAAGATCATTGTCTTTAGAGAATTCATATTTGTTCTGCAGCGGAAATGTATCCAGGAAGTGACACATCTCTGCAAAACGGAGGCCAGAGAGGATGGAGCCAAATGAAGGCCAGAGATGATGGAGCCACAGGGATGAGGCCCGACTGAACACGCCGCAGAGAGACCGGACCTCTACCGGGATCAATGATGTCACACCTGACTGGAACATATCTGAAGATATCAAGAGCATGCCCTTAAGACTTTGGGCTTTTGAGACCTTAGTGACACATCCCTCTGAGTGACCCTTTATACTGGCCACTATAATTATACTCATACAAATCTGCATAAATAAAGGAGTGATGGAAAATGTGAATGAATAGCTGCAATTTTTTTTCTTTCCGGTTTGAACTCAAAGCAGCTCTTGGCATTGTTTCCTATTCCTAAAATGTTTTACTGTTTACATTATAAACTTTATAAACTTGTGTAATAATCATGGCCAACATCAGTAACTGAACTTAACACAAATGGATGATCCCAAAGCGCGGGGCAGTGTGCCCTGGCAGTGCGCCCTGGCAGTGCACGACATGAGGCTGATCGGGGAGCATGAGGCGGATGGGGGAGCCCCTCAGAGTCGGGTCTGAGCTTCTGGGATGTAGATCTCAATACTGTCTGCACGTTCAGTGGCAGAGTTCTGTCTGAAGGAAGCTGCTCGCTTGGCGGCCATCAGGCGTCTGCGCGCCTCCTGCCTCTGACGGTCTTCCAGGTCCAGAGATCTTTCTCGAGCGATTCCAGCTCGGCCCTTGGACGGCCGCTTCACCAAAGGAGGAGGCCACTTTGTTTCCTAGATGTGGACAAGGTGCAGTCAGAATGTTGCTTTTTGTCTCTGGTCATTTTTTTCTTCTACAAAAGTAATACTTTGACATTTTTAAGTCACAGATTGACGGTGACGCTGCATATGAAGACCACTGCTGGAGAAGTCTGGAAACAGCTCTCTCCTACTATATCTGTCATCTTACCTTGTTTTTGTTCAAAGATTTCTGGGAAAAAAACATTATTTTATAATTTATTCAGTTTTTAATCCTTAATTTGTCCCCACATACATACACCAAAACTCAAAAAGCCCAAAATTTAGTTCCGAGTCTAAAAGAAATGTGTGACGTGTGTGTGTGTGTGCCCCCTACAAAAGTCAATTTACATTGCTCCTATAGGGAGCCGGTCCAACGTCCAGTTTGTTGTAGAACCACGCCATGTGGTATATATATTTGTCAACTCAAGAAAAGAAAAAACATAATTATGGCCCCCTGATCCAAACTTAGTGAAAAAAACCGTAAGGACAAAAAATGTTTTGTTGTTACGTTTTTTTTTTTACTACGTTCAGATGGAAAACTAACCCGCCACTTCCGTTGCACTTATGTATCATCTAAAGTTAGCTTCAGAATTGTGATCAGCCAAATTAGCGGCAAAATTATTATAATTATTTGTTTTCAAATATTTCAAATTTGCTCCCCTTTGCACATACAAAGTCATATTTACACAAAATGTTAATTGGTTGTTAAATTCTTGGGTCTTGGTCAACTGAATGTGAGAAAAAAATAAATTGCCACATTAGCGCCCCCTGCAGACTAAGTCAATGTTTTAAAAGGGGAGCAAAATATTTTGCTTTTTAAAAATGAGACGAGTGAAAGTTCCCATGTAATTCAATGGAGACACACACTCACTGATCATATTCATATCACAAAATGCAGTGTGTCTGCCATCAGAGCTGTATGAAGATGATTATTCATTATTACTGCAGTTCCTGTGTTTGAACTATTTGATTCTCTGATCTGTTTTTGAGAAATCTGCAATGCATTAGTATTTTGTGCTGGTAGAGTTAAACCTACATTCTTTCATGCGTAAGTGTGTGAGTACCTTCTTCTCCGGACTCTCGACCAACTGCCAGGCGTTGCTTTTGATCTGTTGAAGCTCATCAAACTTGGCAGTGACATCATCAATGGAGAGCTGCAGGAGGTCCCAGAATCCGGCCAAGTCCTGGGAGGTGGGTCTGGGCATCGCACTGGGGTCCTGCACAGCCAGTGCCGTAACTGCTCATTTCATTTGGCTGAATTACCACAGTGTACGTCTGATTCTGGTTCTTAGTGATGTCCTCAATAATGTTCCTCAAATTATAATATTGACACTGTATTTAGTCAAATGTTTGGTTAAAAAACACTACTTTGGGAGAAAGTAAGATACCACAATGCAGCCCTCTTTCCACCAGCCCTGTTCTACTCTACCCTACTCTACTCTACTCTCCCCCGATTGGGAGTGTTTCCACTGGCCCTGTTTAACCAGTGCCAGGCCCTAGTCTAGTCCCTCTTGGTTCTGGTTCTATCCTGGCTGAGCTGGTGCTATAGTGTGTTGATAGAAGTTGGCCAGATTGGAGTACTGATGGAAGCCATGGCTACCTGGGAATTTCCCCAGAAATTGTTTTGTTGTGGGTAGGTTGCTATGATACGGTGCCAGATACTTAAGTGCAATGGAAATACAGGTGGAGTAGAGTAGAGAAGGGTTGAGTAGGGTAAGGCTGGTGGAAACAGGGAACCGTTTTTAATTATTGCTGCCTCCCAACTCTCCCATCATCTCTTCCCCTGTCCTCTCTCCTCCCTTTCCATCTCCTCTCCTCCCCTCTCCTGTCCTCATCCCCCATCCTCTCTCCTCCTTTTCCCTCTCCTCCTCTGTCCTCTTATCTCCTCTCTGGAAGAGGACAGGAGGGAAGAGGACACTCCCCCTTCCCCTGTTGCAGGGCTGCCCTTTGTTTGGGGCAGTTGCTCTTAGACCTATCACTAATGGCTCTTTCCCACTGTTTAAATGCACATTTTATACAATCATTATGTTTGTCTTTCGTAACTTTAATGAATCACACAAGATTTGTCTGAAACCAAAATAAAAATTCCCTCTCAAAACAAATGTAATTCTACCGGTGACTCACCCATAAGCTGCTTTGACACATGTCCACTCACCAGGTTCTGCTGACAGAGCCAGTAAAACTGCTGAAACTTTTGAGACATGAGGAGCTGAGCACTTCCCACGGCGCTCCGGATTTTCCCCAGGACTGATAGACACACAGACAGAGAGGAGCTGTCAGAACTCGGCCTAGCATCAGCAAACATGAGTGATGTCTCTGCTCTCAAGCCTCGCCATTGTCACAGTGTAGCACTTAATACTGAGACTTAGCTGCGATGACTGTGGCTGCTGTCGTTCTAAAGTCGTTTCACTTTATGAGTGCTCAAAAGGAAGGTGACTTGTCAACACACAAATTATGAAGTGCAAATAAAAAAAAAGATGGTTTGGGAGAGATGCAGGTTAGAATATTAGTATTAAGGTATTTAAAAGTACCTTTAAATAATGCTGCAGTAGAAAGAAAAAAGGACAGAATTAACACACAATGCAGAATAAGCTCCTTGTGAGACAGTTATAAGAAGTAGGCCACAGTGGACGTCCCTGAGACACTCACTCTCCTCGGACAGGTCATGCTCCTCCGCCTCTCGCTCCATCTCTTTGCACCATCCCTCCAGACGCTTGGTTTCATTGTGAAGGAGCTGCATGAACCAGCTGCCGTCCCTGCGTATAGGAGACGCTCTGGCCGTGTCGGTGCTCTCAAGGCTGGGCTGCATGAGCCAGGGCTCTGGGGAGGGGCTGGGTCTGTAGTCCTCTCTGTAACTGAACAGGCCTTGTGTTCGCACCGTACGCACAGCTCCATACTGAGTGGGAGTGCTGGGCTCGGAGTGGCGCCCAAAGGCTCCTCCAAACTGCAGCCCTTTGTCCTCCATGGACGGGAACCCCTCCAGCTCCATGTCGGCCTGGACTGCGGTGGTCACACTGTTAGAGCGCTTGATTCGCCCACGCCTGAAAGTTACAGCACTTTTTGAACAACCTGAGCACAGTTAGGGAGGTCCATCTTGTCTTTTCAGTAGATGAGGTTACATGGTTCTTCTATACAAGACAAATGTGAGATAGAAATGTTATTACTATTGTATCTGCTACTCTGGTAGTGAAGTTAGATTCCTATGAGGCCCAACATTCAGGTTACACGTCTGTGTTATCGTTTTATTAGGCCTGGACAAGATTGATGCATCCCATAGGCGCTTGGAAGCCTTAGCTTAAGTCGAGCCACATACATATCATCTACGCTCCTCAATAAAAATGAATGATTCCTTTTGTTCCAGAAGCTCTGCTCTACTTCTGCTCTGCTTGGTTTCGCAGGCCCGGAAAATTCTTCTCTGTCTTGGAACATGTTAAGGTAATGTGGCATCTTCTCTCTGGCTTGATTGGATTGAATCAAGCCAGAGATATATGTATATGTATATTTATATGGTTTTGTGGGAGAAACCCAATCAATCAATCCATTAGAAATAAATAGAAGAGACCGCAACAAGACTAACCAGAACTGGCACAAAAGGACAATCAGCAGGAAACGCAAAAACCATCTCATGGACTGGGACGTCACATGAATCATTCATCAGGAACACAACAAATACAAGCGCTGGATCAAAAATCTAACAGAAACCTGGAAACGCAGCCACAGGTCGACTGGGCTGACTGGTAAGCACAGCTGATGAGGCCATCGAAACATAACAATTTACAGCCATTACTGTCTCACATTTGACTGGTTTAGAAGAACCACACAACAACCTCTGCCTCTTGGAGGAAACGTGTCGACGTAAATCCCTTTACCGTTTGTGGTCTTCCACCTGGATCCCGATAGAGTGGAACTGAGGGAGGCCCTTTGTCTCCGTCTCAGAGTCTGTCACAGTTTCCACCTGTTTACAAAAACAAAACCAGTAAATTTGACCAAAAATATGTAAAAACTCACGTCTCCTTCTACTATTATTCTTTATTGTTTTGATGCTTTGAGAACACTATTGGGCTATAACTAGATTTTTATTTGTTCATCGATTCATCCTTATTCTGCTGAGAACACAGTTCTGACCACTGTACCATGTTGCCACGTGTATAAACTATGCTGACAAACTTGTCTTGTCAATTCTCGTGCAATTCTCGTCTGTATCCCGTGTTGGTCTTTACCTGTATGCCTATGGAGGAGCGTGGGGTCTTCAGGTACTCCTCGGCCTTGGACACCAGCACTGCCTTATCGCACGTCTGGACAGAGCTGCTGGCCAGTGATGCGTGCCTCTTGCCAGCAGCTGACTCCATGGCCATGGTGACGGCCTTGGTGCTGTCCAGACTGTCCGTGGAGCTGTAGATGGGCCGGCCCAGGCTGTCTGTGGTCCACAGGGCTCCTCGGGGGTGGCGGCCCTCCTGGTAGGCGTCCTGTGTGGACTCTGTGCTGCTCTGGGCTGTCACAGAGATAATAGGCTTGGTGGTGATGCGTGGGGGCACAGGAGGTGGAGTCTTCTTGTAACTGGTGGGATATGAGACTGCTGGATGGCACAAGCAGGATGACACGAGGACAACACAGAACGAGAAGGTAAAAAAAGATAAAAACAAAGTGTGAATGAAAAGATGTAGCTGTAAAGCAGACAGTCGTGTGCTGCAGGAACCAAGAGGAAAGGGATCAGCAGCCACATGTTTCTTCTAAGAGACAAACTGTATACTCTTAGACTCTTAAACTTAGACTCTTAAAACAAAAGTAGGGGAATTCTAGTACGATGTGATGCTGACCCTCAAGGTAAAGTACTGTCTTGATAAACAGATGAGAAGCACTGAGTTGAGTAGAGTAGAGTATAGTATAGTATTGTAGAGTATAGTAGAGTAGGGTAGGGTAGAGTAGAGTAGAGATCTGCAGCTTTTCAGTAACCATGAGAAGAGGGATCAGCAGCCACATAGTTCTTCTAACATGAGACAAACTTATCTAAAATCTGATATGATGTGAAGCTGACCCTCAATATTAAAGTAAGCTGGATAAACAGTCAACAATCATTCATGTATATACACTCCTGTCTTTGTTCTTTTTGCTAGCACCAGTCTGAGAGCTTGAAAATGAATACTGCAATTCTACTAAATGACCTCTAGAGGGAGCTCAATATTTAGTAATTTCTCAGCACTCGGAAACAGTGAGTGGGCAGTGATTTCCTCTGGATCTTGAGGTGCAAATCCCGTGTGCATATGTTCCAGTTGGAGATCCAGGGATAGTTGTATCTCAGATCTGTAGCAGCATGACGTGGTGCATGGGGGGGTGGTACCTGGTGGGAGGGTGGTACCTGGTGGTGGTTGGGCTCTGTCCACACTGCACGAAGATGGTAGACGAAACTGAATCCCTGTGAACGGCAGGCAGGAGAGTTATACAAGACTCAGAAACACAAACACATACTTTGTGAATGCAGATACAGAAGACACGGCCTGGGTAAAACAGGATGGTTGAAGGAAAATTGAGTGGCTTCATTCACAAAACACATGCTACTCAACCCAACAATGAAAATTATGGCTACATTACTGTAACATTGTAGTACACTTTTTCCACTAAATGTATCATCTCTTTAACAAAACTATAAGATCAAAAGTAAAAAAAAAATAGTTCTAAATAGTATGGCTGCATTCTGGCATAGTCTGGTCTCTAAGATCAACACAAGGATATATAATAAACTCTGGATCATTAACGTAATAATAGATTCCATTGTTATTATGACTTTGTGCTGTTTCTCTTCTTTCTGAACTTAAACAGATCACAGTGTGAGTTTAATTTAGACAACTAGAACAAAAGTTTAGGTCGGAATGAAAAGCTGAACACAGGTCTTATCATTTATCCTTGGTTTCTGTTGCATATGACAGTGATTCACATTCACTCCACATTTCAGACAAAAACAACATGCAGTAACATGTATAAACTGGAGACAAACCTGTTTACGTGTCCCCGAAACACCAATGACTAAAGCCCTACCTCCATAAAAGAACCAATTGACCGTATCGTCCAAAAAACTACTCATAGGGATCCCTTTGTGGACAATGCACTGATTCTGTTCACTCATCCTCCTTTTTTGCTTCTCTATGAGCCTTTTTGATTCACATAAAAATACAAATATAGATTTAATGTCTAGACCAATTCACAAATATTATTATTGCCGAGATATTTGGGTTGAAAACTGGAGCTTAAAATACTAACGTTTGCACTTTTGTGGCACAATAAGCCCTGTTTCCACCAGCCTTGGTCTAGTCTACTAGGGCTAGTACTGTAGAGTAGAGTAGATTTGAGAAGAGCAGAATAGAGTACAGTAGAGTAGAGCCGACTAGAGAAGAGTAGAGTAAAGTAGAGCCGAGTAGATCTGAGTAGGGTAGAGTAGAACCGATTAGTGTAGAGTAGAGTAGAACAGAGTAGAGTAGGGAGTAGAGTAGAGCCGAGTAGAGCCAAGTAGAGTAGGGTTGGTGGAAACGGGGCTAAAGACTCACATTAGAGGGTTGTTTATGATGAAGTGGTATTTATGTCTAAACAATTAGCATTATTAAAGCTAATATCCCATCTGCGCCTGTAACCAACATTAAAGCTGGGTTACCTCACTTTCAAACCACACATATAAATCAACTATGAAAAGAAATCCATCATTTAACATACTTTTTCATACTTTCTTCCTTAGATCACCTTTTTCAGAGAGAAAAGTGAAAAAGAAAGGCCCACCCTCGCTCAGCCAATCAGCTCTCAGGCCAAAGAGGGCTCTAGCAGGGATCTTTCAAAAGTCCAACGTGGTTCATTTGGCTTCCAATTTTACAACTTACTTCTTATTTTAAAACCACAGTAGGTTTTTTTCCGTAGCTGTCAGTTTGGGCCGCTGCCTGTGGTCACATGATGCTTTCTTCCTCCCACCAGAGGCAGGATGACAGCGCCACCTGCAGTCTGACTTATTCCGGACAGAATCCCCGGTGTGTGAGAGTAAAACATCCCGGTTTATCCAGGATGTTTTACTCCTGCGAGCATGTTATTTCTATTTCTTCTTCGATCCAGCCGTGGTGTTTGTGAGTGGTCTGAGGTGGCCCAGTCCCCAAAGTGATTCTCTTTCTCTCTCTCTTTTAGTCTCTCACTGGACTCTCTCTGGTCTCTCTATCTGATCTATCTCTCTTCTCTCTCGTGCCTCTCTATGGTCTCTCTTTCTGGTCAATCTCTCTGATCTCTATCTCTCTGGTCTTTCTCTCTGGTCCCTCTCTCACTGGTATTGGGTTTTGTGGCCCAGACCAAAATGTCAGCTACGAGAAAAAACAAGTGTCAAGTCAAGAATAACCAATATGTGAAAGTATTAAATATTTTCCACTAGGATGAAGACAACATTCTTGTTCTTGTGCATGAAAGAATGGTTACCCCAGCTTTAATGCTGAACACATACTCAAACAAACCAGAGAATATAGAGTAACGTACGCCCACTTTACACAGAGTATGTTGCTTGTGTGGCTCCTTATTGGTACATGCACACAGTGAACAGACCGGATGAATGATACAGACACATGAGCGCACATCAAAAGCACCGCCTCTGTGTAAAATGGGAGACATGATCTGAATCCCACAGAAAACTTACCCAAAGCAGCTGTTAATCCTAATGCCCCACATTATTTATGCACAAGGTCACCTGCACTGCTTGTGACTGTAGTAAGCTTTGTATTTGTGCTTCTGAATTCAGGAAACCTCCTCTGTGCAGACGACAGATTTGACCTCTCACGGTTTCTCATCAGTCACACCTTGCATCCGCCGCATTCTGGCTGTTACTACAGCAGTTCACACCTTCTGAAAAGTCTGTGCAATGCCTTGGCATTCTGCAGAACCTCCAATCTCACGTAATTCATTCAAATTCGCGGGATGCAAGATGTGACCTGTATTTTTTTTCAAAGAAGAATTGTTGCCAGTCGGCGTTTGAAAGTATCACCGTGCTTTCCCAGTTAAAGGAGTGAAATACAGTTTGGTCTCTTCCCGGCCCGACTCGCTCCACTTGTGCCTTGGTTGTGTACTCAGGCTGGTGACATGTGGGTCCCGTTGAGGACAGAGCCGATGGTGATTTAATGGTGGACAGACAGGCTGGGTCACATGGGCATGGGGGCTGAAGATGGGTCACTTGGGCATGGGGGCTGAAGATTTGAAAGTTTTGAAACAGAACTGGGACTTCTCTTACACTAATATTATGGTGGATTATTCTTGGTATTTAAACAAGATATTTAGACTATATACTTTGCCATGTCATGTTTTAGAATGTTTAATAATATCTTAAGTGTCTAATATTATAAGTGTCAGACATATTACGTTGACTTCATCAGGTTGTAGTATCCTATTGTCAAAATAGACAGGATTTTTCAGTGTCATTAAACCATGTTGTGTCCAGTTGCTCCATCAGTTGTTTATTCAGTGTTACTGTGCAACATGAAAACCTCCGTCTTATATTCACATGCAGCTAATATGTGGAGATACTTAATCTTACTGGTGCGGTTTATGCACAGGTTCAAAGTCCAGCAAATTCTGTAAATACTGTTCCATGGGTCAAGTAACTGTTTTGAATAAAGTGCATGGTGCCAGGCTGAGCTGTACCTGCCCTGCTTGGCCCTACTCCACTCGAGTCTATACTTTCCCCCAATTGGGAGCATTTCTACGGGCCCCGTTTAACCTTGTTCTTCCGCTGGCCCTGTCAGTACCAGTCCTTCTTTAGTCCCTCTTGGACCTGGTTCTATTCGGGCTGAGCTGGTACTAAAGAGTGACTAACTGACAACGTGACAGTGAATGGCCAGAGCTGGCAGCCATGTTAATTAAGTGGTTAGGTTCCTAGGATAACGCAACCAGGTAGATTTGAGTAGAGCAGAGTACAGCAGTTGATACATTTCTTCTAATCTTGCACAGCTTGTAAACTCGTGGATGTCATAACAGTCTGGACCTTTATATATGTGACTGTATGAATAGACATTTTGATGGATTGACAGAGGACAAATGGACTTATGGACATGTGGACATTGGAGTGTGTTTACTAATTCAGCTGAAACTTTTAGCCTTGAGTTGAGTTTTAAACAACTCCACACAGAAGCAGCATGTTTCCCATTGATTTACATACATATATACATACAGTGGTGATGCCCCCATGGATGCAGAGAGGATTGAACTCTGTATGTGAACCAATATAACATAATATACTGTATATTCAAATCAGTATACGCTCTCTAGCCATAAGGGATGAGATCGTTGTACACCTCTCTGAAGTGGCCTTGAACAACATCGTCTTTGCTAGGTTTCATTTGACAGTTCGTATCTGAGGCTTTGATCTGTGTGGAATCAATGCAGCTCTTTAGCTTCTATCTGCCTTTTTAAATGAATCCAAATAAATCCAGAAAAAAGCAATGACTTGAACAAAACTTGAACTTTGAACAGAAAAAAAAACAATTAACAAACGTATATTGTTTTATATATATATTGGGGTATAGATGAGCAGGATGTAAATGTGTGTTAAAAATGAAGCTGTTACTATGATGGTTCAGTGCTGTCAGAAGCAGACAAACACATACAAGAATCTTAAGGCAAGCACATAACATATCCCTTATTTGGACTAAGTGACAAACATGGACACAAATTAGACAAAATGCATGAACAACATAGAAAAAAAAAGATATAAAAAGTGGTGCCCTACCAGACCTACCGTACTCCCTACGCCCCGCTAAGCTACGGGCGCCTACAATGACATACAAGTAGAAAAGGAAAAAGAAAGAATAATACAAAAAGATGGTAACTTGTACAAAGCATTGGATTTGTTAGATTGTCAGACAGTGTGTGTTTTACCCATGCGTCATCATGTTGTGTGTGTGCTGCCGGTAAAGCTATGGACCCTGTTTTCATTTCAAAAACACTCCTCATGATTAATATACACAGCATGTCTCAAAAGTATAAAGAAATACAAATGCTTTGGCACATTCTATGAATAGAAAAGTGGGGCGGGCAAAAGTTTCCATACCCATGTTTCTGAAGTCATTAAATCCTTCAAAATATACCTGATTAAATAGAGCCCTGTGTGTAATTGACTCTCACACTAATGACAGCTGTTCTTCAATCCTGTCAGACCTATGAAGCTCAGCAGGACAGCTTCTGTCAGTGTGCCCCAGGTCAGCTGGAGCTACAGTAGTACTTTATCACCACCGTGTTTGGTGTGAATATGAATTATGGACTCCAGCAAAGTCCTGTATAAAACTGACACAATATTCTCAGAGGCCTCAGAGCTGAGTCTAGTGGCCACTAAACAGCATCATGAATGCAGAGAATATGGCGTCCCTGCAAATCTACCAAGACCTGGCTTTCTGCCCAAACTCACAGTTCGAACCAGGACATCACAGATTGTAGACACAAGGCCTATGGTTACTCTGAGGAACTGCAGACATCAAAAGCTCATCTGGGGGAATCTGAACACGGGGAAAATATCAGTCTTGATCTACACCCCTCAGGCCTTCATTTACGAGAGGAGACGAACACTAAACTGCTCTTAAGCCTCAGTGTGAGGAGGCTTATGAGCGGCAACATACTGAGAAGCCCAGTCCGAATGCAAACTGTTTTGTAACACTGGTTCCCTCAGTGCACCATCCCCAGAAATATGGGGTTGCTTTTCTTCAGCAAGGACAGGGAAGAGTGACAAAAAGGTGAAAGGTGTATGGAACAAAATGCAGGACATAAATTGGATAAACAAATCTGCTAGAGTGCAGAACTAACTCATGCTGTATAAATACCTTTGCAAACCCCACTTTTAAATGTTTAAAATAACAGAATTACGTATCATTTAGCGTTCACTTCACAGTCATCTGTTGTGGTCGTTCATTAAAATATCAACAATAGAATATTTATGTTTGTGTTTGTACAATCTATTACACATACACATTGCACAAAGCCCAGCCACTACAAGAACAAGTAAATTCAGTTTAATTTGTCCAAAAGAATAACAATAATGGCAAAATAAGCTTCACTTCACAATGCCATTTAAGATCCCTGAACATTGGAAAATTTCTGATGCAAAATGGAGATTTACAGACATTTAAGATAAAGGCAGAAAAGCACATTTCAAAAGACAATGTTCCTTTTGTTTGAGAACAGTTCAAATCTCCAAATAAGAAAAACATGGACCACTACAACAAACAGAGGATTGTACAACAGCATATGCTTCAGTGGTGAAAAAATAATCATTTAATTCCAAATAACATAATTAATATTTGATAACGTTGTAATAATTATGTCTATACCTTTTAGTTAGATAGTCATAAATAGAGTATACAATATTTTGCTCAAGATTCCTGCTACATTAACACGGATCGGCTCGTTCTTTGGGGCTATCTCGCCATCTCACTAACAGTGGAATCATTTCATCACTTTTCAGACAATAAAACAGCAGTAAATAATGTTTTAAACAATTACAATGTGAAGAACATTTTCAAATCATCATAATTCTAAAGTAAAGCACTTGTTTTTAAAGTCCTTATAAAATATGTTTATTCCTCTTGCGTCTCAGGAGACTACATTTACAGCTCACTATAAAACACAGCAAAAGACCAAAGATAAATAAATAAACAAAAAGTGAATGTTGAATATTCACCTGATGTCTTTCTTCTCAGTCAGATGGAGCAACAGTGACTGGTCTTCAAAAATCGCACTAAAGTGAAGGATCTGCCGTCTGTGAAACCCACTCTGGCTTAAAGGAGAAGTATTATTAATTATTTTTTCTCTTTGAAATCACTGTGAGACCGATTAATTTGTGTCTTCATGTTTACGGATGTGAAATAACTGTGGAAAATATATGTGAAAAATGTGTGAAACATCAAAAATGCTGTTCAGACTATGCTCAGACTATAACTCCCTATGCTACCACCAGAGGGAGCGGTGTCTGCAGTCAGAATTCTGTTCCGTGACTCTGTGCCATCAGAGGGAGATTTGAAAATTACATTGACTGATTCATGGCAATACTCTTAAAAGTCAGAAGAACTGCTCTGAGTGTGATGTCATAGTAATATCATAGTGATACAATTAAATCTTAGTGTTTAAGGACTGAGATAGGGCTTGGGTTAGGGAAATTCTGAAGTTCTGGCTTCTCACTTGGAGAAATGGGAATGTACTCAGCTCAAGTTGGAAATTCACCTTCGAGAGTCAAGCTCGGACTCTGACTGCAACTGAAATGAGCCCCACGGCAACACAGTCCTTCGTGAGTCTGTCCACTTCAAGTGACTAGCTCGATTTTTTATATCTCAGATATTCCAAGCTCACGTGGAAACCACAGAGCTAAAAAAATAATGCCAGGTCGGATTCTGGCTGTAACACAGCGGAAGTTTAAAAAGTTTTGCATAATACCTCTCCTTTAATGTTACTGATCATGCGACTCAACAGTCGGATTATTATCGCCTCAGAGTTCTGTAATCTCTAATCCAGAATGAAGACATGACGACATCGAAGATAAGCCCCATTTCCACCAGCCCGACTAGGCTCTACTCTACTCTACTTTTCTTTACTCTCCCCTGATATGGAGTGTTTCCTCAAGCCCTGTTTAACCGGTACCAGGTCATTCTTTAGAACCTCTTGGCCCTGGTTCTATCCAGGCTGAGCTGGTACTAAAGTGTTCTAACTGACGGTGATTGGATAGAGAGTTTCTGGAAGCCGTGGTTACCAAGGAATTTCCACAGATACTGGTTTGTTGTGGGTAGGTTACTGGGCAATTAAGTGTAATGAAAACGACAACCAGATTCAGTTGAGCAGAGTAGAGCAGGGTGGAGTTGGGGTGGTGGAAACAGGGCTATTGATTGCATAGAATGTATGAATGATTGGTGACATCATCAGTGGCCACTTCAAAGCACCTTTTCTAGTTTTGAACAAAGTGAACCGAGAGACAACTGTAAACATCTAGAACACAAGAAAATACATATTTGATTTTATACACGCACTCACAGTCATATGCCCTGATGATATAATATTTGTTTTTTATTAAAATTGACCAAGTTTAAGAGAAGCTGCTGAAGGACATTCTAATAAGATTGTTATATATTGATAAGATGTTTTATATGTAATGACTCTGTTTGAGTCTGGGACTGGAACTGTTCCTGTGATAATGCCATTTTTTCCACAATCCCACTTTGTCTTGTTTTTGTGTTCATTTGTCCTTTTTATCCTGGACAAACAAAACACACTCTACTCATGCACCGCCCTGATGGTCAGCTAGAGCTCATTGTTTGTCATTATTGGAACACATGTTTTTGGCTCTTTTTGTGAATAGAGCTGTAACTATTGCAGGAGATGGACTGTAATTACTGACGTGAACCTCTGGGGGCGCAGTGATCAGTGGGAGAAGCCTTCTGATGCCTGGATTGTCTTCATAAGTCAACCGTTTTTTTCTCCTGTGTACAACTGGAGGAAGGTGGCGTGCGAACTGGTGACCGGAATGTGCATGGATCTAAGTTTATCTCCTCCACCTCTCCTCACACAGAGCCAGGGGATCCACCGACTGTCAATTAATATTTAAGGCCCTGTCCCCACAAACATAATGTATCATTCCAGTGTGTTATCCATATGAAGCTGACGTTTTTGGCGTTTTTAAAGACCAGGGAGAGAACAGTGAAAGACTCTCCACCGAGATTCTGAGATGGTTGCGTCATCACACTGTCTCTTGAGAGGAGAGAGAGGAGAAAGGAGAGGAGAGAGGATAGAAGAGATAGAGGAGATGAGAGAGCTGCGTATCTTTGTCTGTTCTATAGACTGTAAATATTACTGGAAGTAGTCACGCCTATCTCCGCCGTTGAAACTAATGTGCCACCACTTTCGCCTTCTGTGGGCAGTTTCAAAATGGCCGCGGGGCAAGAAAATATCGAAAAATGTATCCATTTGACAAGTGCCTTAAAAAGTCCATAGCGGCTAAACTATAATGGTAGATGTGCATTGACACACCTCTGGAACGTGGCTTTGGGCAAAGAGCCGACTTTGGACCATCCTGTAAAGCCATTTTCGAGAAGAAAGAAGACGCCAACCAAAAGTATTGGATAATTCTCTTTCTGTGTCCACCCCAAGCATGTCCGCGCACGTGCTCATTGACCTTTTTGAGCCGGGACCTGACCCCACTTGTCTGTTTTTGTGTGTTTTGTGAGACAGCCTCACAGCGCCCCCTCAGGTCTAACACGTACATTACACTGCTCTCCGGTGAAATCATTTTTTTTTTTTCAGCTTTGTGTCCATTTTAAAGACTCAGATCCCTCTGTGCGTAAAGCGGTTCCAAAACTACACACCGCTCTCATCTCCATCTGGACTGGGCCTGATATGGCTTTTAAAGAAACATAACATGGCTCTTGAAAATAAAGAGAACAAACTGATTAAGAACACTTTAGAAAACTAGAAGAGGAAATTAAGAAACATGCAACAGTTGTAGGCCGAGTATGAAGACCCAAAGTGCGTTTCTTTCTCAGTCCTTGTACTTTATCTTTCAGAGAAGTGCTTACGTTCATTTGATTTGGCATTCACTAAAATTAAAGAATGTTAGAGTTCTTTTTATATTACTATTACCTCCCCCCATTTTGTTTAAATAAAACAAATCTCTCATGTAAGCGCTGCCACTATTCATATTATTGTTATTATAAGGATAGAATACTTTTAGTACAAATTGGTAGATTATATACATATCCACAGATCAAACATGGAACAGTTTGTGCTGGGATGAGTAGAAGCCTTGTATTCACACAGTATGGAGTATGGAGTAACTACATCTACATGTGGTAGATACTATGGGAGCGATAGAAGTTGAATGTTTTCTAAAATACAAAAGGACATGTTTAATTCATTAATGTTACTACAATTCAACTTTAATGATTGCCAAATGTCTCAGTGCTGTTTTATTCTTAATGAACAGGTAAAAAAATATTCTATAGTTATTCACAGTATTTTCTGTCTCGTCAGGTGCTTGAGGGAGATATTCAGTGGTACATAGACAGAAGATCATTGGACTGAAGAACTGATATAAGTCTGTATTTATATGTTCTTGTTAAACATTGATCTATATGTGTTTAATCGTGAATACACTCTCTTTCTCTAGTCTCACTCTACGGCTTCTCTCTCTCTCTGGTCTCTGTCATGTCACTCTCTTTCTGGCCTCAATTTATGGTCTTTCTCTCTCTTTCTGGCCTCTCTCCATGGCATTTCTCTGGCCCGAGAGACTTGTTTTGGCCCTTGCCCTCTGACAGAGATACAAGTCTAGAACATGAACACAACCAATTAGAGATATACCGATCTACCCTGTAATATTCGTTTGATTACACAAATATCACAGCTATTCTGCAAATTACATTCACCATGTGTGAATAGAAAGTCCAAATATGAAACCAGACATTTGGTCTGGGGTCTTTCAGGCACTGATAACTTTGAGCTACATAATTTTGAAATTGTTTGCTCATTAGTCACTTTTTGATATGACTTTTTTTTTATAGTTTACAGACCAAAAGGGTGTCACTCGTTTCTTCTCACCCCAGATTTGTTTTCTTACTGTTGTCGTCTGAGTGGTCACAATCTGCAGGTCCAGTAATCCCTCTGCCTATGCACTGGAATGGAGACGCTTCATGTTTCATGTGCAGGGTCTTAATTGTTTCAACATATGTTGTATATTTGAGACAATCCTCATGATTTTCAGCTACTTACAGTTTAGTATCACATGTTATTTTCGGCACTTCAGGATCAGACGGATCCTTTTACATCTATAATAGATCATAGATCTCGGTGAGCGAGGGTCTGATCCCACTACATGCAGTTTTGCTGCTTCTGCAACTATGACAAGAAACCATCTTGGATCAGTTTAGGGCTCTCTGGTTTCTCTCTGGTCTCTCTCTCTGGACTCTTTCTCCGGTCAATTCAACATATTAACTCCAAGTTCAGTTTAATTTGTATAATGCTTTTGTTTTGGGAATCGAAACCCAAAATTGTACATTTCCAATGAGAATTGTGCACATTATATCTATCTATTAAAGTCACTAAATTGTGTCATTGCTTTCCGTTTTTTTTACTATGCAAATTGTTTGCATTGCAACCTCTAAATACATGTTAAAAACTTTCACTATGTTCTTCCACGGCCCTTAGTATAAGACACATTGATGCAGCTGAGTAAATCTGAGTGCAGTGGGATCAGTGCGTGAGGAAGATTAAAACGACATGGACAGATATGACATGGGCCCACTGGTGTACTTGCGACTCCATAGCTCTAGACTGGCACTTCTATGACCCCCGGTGTGGATAATGATGTCCTGCTGCTTATTACCCCTTTGCTTTTTATTAATGTCCCAAGGAAAGTCTTCTATTGGAAGTGGACTTGCAGGACTTCCAGATCCTTCGGGGGTGCTCTCCGGAGTTCCCTCAATGATCTCAATTCTTGGAGGGTCCATGAAGTCCATAATGTTAAAGGGTTTTGGCTCTGGCTGACACATTACTGACTTATCTTCCGTATTTTGTCGAACAGCCCAACTCGAGCCGGTCTGGATCCCTATAGATACACGGTCATCTGTCTGAGTGGTGCTGTCGCTGCACGGCTCCCTGCACAGGGTCCACATGTTGTAGCATTGAGTGAAGTTGAAAAAGTTGCTGTTGAAAGTTTTCAACTCCCCGCAGACATCTCGCCGCAGCTCCGCCAGTTCATATCGCATAGCTGAGATCTCATCTTTCCATTGCAGGTTGAAAGCTGCAACCATATTAGCAGACTCTTTGAATGCCTGAAGGGCCTGAGGAACTACAGGCTCAGATGTGGCAATAGGTGAAGCTCCTGGAACCCTGTAGGAAGGTGGGGTCGCCGGAGGGACAGAGATGGCTGTAACAGTGGAGCTGGTGCTGTGCTGACTGCGTGCAGCAGCGGTCTCTCTCTCCAGTCTCTCCAGCTCCATATATGCAGACGAGCTGGCTCCATCGTCATCTTCTATCATGTCGTCATTTAGTAAAGAGGTGGCATCCACAACATCATATCCCTCTGAAAAATAGATTGGATATGCAAAGAATATCACAGTGAAAAGAACACCTGGGATGTGGCTCAATGGGCCTGAGCTATCACACACTTATCTACGAAAAACATACAGTATGCGAGGACCAGTAGTAAACAGCAACATGGCCGGTTTGTACTCCTACTGTACGTAAAGTTAGTTATTGATAAACTCTCACATACTGTAGGCTTTCACACTGCTTTACACTGCCTTCTCAGTCAACTCAAGGTCCATCAAGCTTCTTTCCATCTTTTCACAGCGCAGCACAGTAAAGCATTGGATTATACATTACTTGAATATTTGGGGCCTTAATAAATAAGACGTTATTATAAAAAGATGACGTAGCATTATTGCTTATTACCTTGAAATTGAGCTTTTTGTGCAAAAGAAAAGATGCCAAGAATATTAGAATAATCACATTCAACTGGATTAAGAGGCAGATATGAACCCTATTGAACATGTCAGGTCCAAGATGGTGGATTAGACCATGCAGATAGAAAGCCTGGTGAGGGGGAAGGATCAAGGCCCTCGGACTCCACCAGGAAGAGGCTGCAATCCCACAGTCAAAGACAGCTGACACATTTACTGCCATGCTTTAGACTCATTTGGACAGCTCCCACAATGACTGGAGACTGCTCATTACTTTATCAAGAGTTACTGAGAAATAACATAATAACAAGCTCATATAGTGTTAGGGCTTTGGTGGAATTCATGTAAATTAATAATCTACCAACTCTACTTAGCACTATGTCTGATCTTGTATGTTTACTGAGAAGGCAGTGCAAAAACACACATAGATATATGTATGCGTGTCAACATTAAAATACCTGCAACAATCATCCAGTTGTTCTTTCCCCTGGTTATCCTTCAGATGGAGGTCAAATGCAGAGGGCTGAGTTGTTGATCTGCCCTTCACCACAGGGGCCTCCTAATCTCACATGAACTCATCCCCTAGTCCACTGTTTGGCCAAAGCCAACACACACTCTCATCCTACAGAAGGTGGAAGAGGTCCACTTTTGGCAATTGTTAAATTACCTTTTTGAATATACAACTCAACTAATTGCGTAGGAGCAAAGAGTTCAGCAAATAAGACGGTGGGATTGAAGAGCACCCCTTTGTCCATAGTGCTTCAGAGATGGTTGACCCCGAAGTCCAAATTGGTTCATAAAGTTGATCATACAAAAATCACACTTCTATTCACAAAAAGCAAAAGGTTTCCAAAAAATTTACAAAAATACAAAAATTCAATAGGGTTCATAGCTTTACTCTTCCAAGCATGGTGGAATGCATTTAGTGAGGCATTCTAATTATATGTTTGCACAAAGAAGCAAAGACAGTTTCAACAATGATTGTGATTTCTTTACATTTCAGCTCAGTCAAATGTTACGCTTCGCTCCTGTGGTTATTTAATCACTTCCAAACTCAATGTAATCAATCAGAGCTCACTGCATCTTTGTGCAATCCACATGGTCCTGTACATATGTGTATAACCTCAATGCAAACTTACCTTGCAAATCAAATGTGTTGTTTTTATCATGTTTTTAATGTAAACCCTGCCTAGGTTACGCACAATACATTGAACACCACAGTTTCACATGCTGAGGATAGAGTGTGCTGATCTAAGGCATGCCATGTCTCTAGTCAGTGTGTCAGTATGTGAGGGGACCAACCGACCAACCCTTAACCTAGATGCTTGTAACAACAAGAGGCCAATCAAATACTGTCATTTAAATTGTGCATTTATCACATCAGGCATTTTAGAAGGGTTGGGGGTATGCAGAGGCAAACAGACACACACAGTGGTGGCTAAGGGGAAGGGTGTCATTCAGCCTGGCATCCCTGAAGCTCAAGGGTTCCCACTGTACATATGTAGGTATGTCACAGCAGTGCGTATGTGAGAATGTATGGGAGTATGTGGCCTAAACCCTTGCTCTTTTGGGGGGGATCATTTTACCTGTGGATCTGAGGGTTGAAGTGACAGTGGAGGATGTCATTGAAGGCAAGCAGTCGTCATCTTGGGAATAACCAGCCTGAATTGCACGGAGGTAACTGTGGCTTCGAGTGCGGAACGAACCGGGCAGGTCCAAGGCCTCCATAGCCTGGGATTCTACTTCACTAAAAACGGACTCGCAAACTGACTCAAACTGGCCATTGACCTCAGTCTCACTCACCTGAGAGACAAAAACAGGAATAGCAGTCCTTAATTTTTCCTCTTCCTTTCTCTTTCTCACTTTGATTCTTCCCCTTTGCACAGCACATATGGAGCAGCGTTAGCGTAAGGACATGCCACTGTCATTAAGGACCTTAAACTGAACGAATGTCAGAATTTAATAACAAAAGAAAAAGAAGCAAATTACAGCACAGCAAAAATAATCAGTTCAGTGTGTGGTGAGCAACATTGCAGACATGTGGAGCACAACATAAGCAAACTTTTTGAATCAGTGAGGATAGACATTAGGTTATTTGGTTGTTCTATACCAGACACCTGTGAGATAGTGATTTAATAATAGTAATGATAATAATTATGATAAAGCATCACTTTTCTACATACCTTTTCTGGACACTCAAGGTCTCTTCACATCTTTATTCATTCACTCCATAGACTGTGGTGACAAACTATTGCTAGCCACAGCCACGCAAGGGCACACTGACAGAAGCAAGGCAAACCGTATGTGCCATCGGCCCCTCCCACCACCACCAACCATTCACAAAACCCAGACTCATTCAGATATGGGTGAAGCGTCTTGCCTAGGGATGCAACCACAGTTTGGCTCCTTACAGACACAGCCGCCCCACTGTGGAAAAATTCCCAGAGGTCTCCCATCACAGTACTAACCAAGCCCTGCTCTACTGAGCTTCAGAGGTCTGACGGGATCTGGCTGTCAACTGCAGGTGGTGCAATCTGATTATCAAGAACTCTCCTGAACATGGGACGCACTTCTTCAGCAATCACTGGTCAGCCGGGGGCGCAGACAGCCCAATAAACCACACAGGATGGCTGGGATGACTGGCCTGGGAAAAGCAGCTGAGAAGGCCATTGAAACATGTCACATTTGTCTGGTGTAGAAGAACCAAACAACTGAATCTTCTAATGAGACAAGATGAGCCTACCTAAACTATTAAGAGATACCAATGTTGTCAGCTAGATTCCATTTTTCAAATAGTAGCATCACTGTGAGAATGGCAATAATATGGATCTTAAATCTCTAGTCACTCATTGGCAGTTTCATAATCTTTTCAAATGTACAAGTAGTGGGCATGGCATGTACTGTAGTGCTCTTGTGTCGGACTCACCTGGCTCACGCAGCTCGCCTGACTGAGGGTGCTGACCGCGCGCATGTAGCTCTGGTTACGAGAGCGGTAAGGTGGGGGGTGGAAGTTGGTGGAGGGGTCCAAAGTAACGCTATGCTGCGGCCTCATGTCTCTGGTCTGCAATTGGTAGCCCTGGCTGGACAAGGAAAAGAGGGAAAGGGGGATTGGCACAGTTCAACATCAGCATCATTAAGATTAAGAGATCCTTTATTCCTCCCACAGCGGGGAAATTTCAGACTTTCAGAATTCAATGACTTCAATAGAAAGTCATTCCAATACCATGTTGTGGTTGTGACTTCAGAAGAGTCATTGATTATTATTATTAAAAAGAAAATCAGGAGAATGAAAGAGAGAATAAGGAAGAGAATAATTAATAAAGTGCTAAAATAGATCAAATCCGGCCAACCAAGCCGTTTGATCTGGCCCGCGGGCCGCCATTTGATAATCATTGAACTAAATGGATTTGAATACATAGTTATTGTTTTGTAATATGAATCTGTAAAATATTTTTTCTTGAATACTTCTGTTTTTGCGAGCTGCAGAGAACATGTGAAGATCAGTTTCACATTGTTCAATTACATTACACCCAATTTGTTTCATAACTGAGCTCCAAGTTTAACACCAGAGCACAGTATTTTAACTGGCAGCATGTGTAACAGTGAGACTGTAATGAGTGAGGTGTAAATACCTCTGTGTTCTTTGTGACACATAAATATTGAAGTGGCTGAATAAAAAGGTCTATTTGTAACACAGCAGAGTTCTGTCAGAATATGACTAGAAACTTAACCAAAAGCACTTACAAGACGCACGCTTCCATCAGTGTGTCCAATAGAGAACGCTCTCAGTGTTCTTAATCTCTCTATTCCAAAAAACAACTTCACATTATTCAACTAAAACAATTCAATGTGTTTGGCATAATCACGCTCTTACTGGATTAAAAAAGTCATTCCAATTAATCACACTTTTTTGCCAGAATCTCGGTGCCTGTGACACATGTAGCTCCTATAAGCTCCAAGAATCTGTTTATATGTGTCCCCAGTCGCATGGCGCCGTAAAGATGGCGCCGTGGCAAGAGCTCTGGTGTGTGTCGTCTTCTCTGTCTGGTGCACACCGGGGTAGTCTTGCACAGTTTTTCCAATGTGGTTTTACTGCAAATGGCAAATAAATGAATCTGAATCTGAGATAACAGGTCACAGGTACATATATATGTGTCCTCTACAACAGATCACAGGTACACAAAAACTGTATGTGACCTTTTCTGAACAAAGGTTTAAAGGGGAGTACTGTTCATTTAAAACTATATTGGCAATGTAACTTGCCACAAACCTACAATACTTCTTGTAAGAGCAGAGGCCCTCTTTACCTGTGAGAGTCTAGATGGGGTCTCATGGCTGACTTCAGGACCAGTGCATCAGGGCGTATGGCGTTTGGGGGTGATGTTTTGGGACTGGGCTCTGAATCTCCGCTCTCGTCGTCGATCTCCCCCATGGCTTTGACGTAGCTGCTACTGCGCATGCGGCGACATGGGATCTCTTCGTCCTTGTCCCCAGGGTAGGCACTCCACTCATCCTGGGGGACCTGGCCCAAATTACAATGGTATGTTTCTATTAAACATCTGGACAAAGTCGTAGTATTTTACAACAATAAAACATATACAAGCCAGGACAAGAAAGAAGGCAAACGGTTACTGAGCTAGAGGAGTTTACTTTTACATGTAAGTCAATAGTAACTAGTTTCACTGGTCTGAAGGTTTTGACCGTAAATTGACCAAAAATTATGTCATGGTCTGAAGCATAGTAATCAAAGAGAGGATCGACAATCACTGTAGCAATTATTGCATCTGTGCGTGCATTCCGAAACGGTCGAGGTTATCCCGGACAATTTAAACTGGTGGGCTTCCAAGAGCGCATTAAAGTTAGTTTACCTGCTCTTGTGTACCAGTCAAAGGAGGCAGCCGGAAAGACCCGCTTGTTTATACGGACTTTATGTGGCGTGATCGGCCACGTGCGCCTTGTATATGTGTTTATCTGTTCACAGGTGATGCGTCCGGCTTCTGTGCCAGCTCGGATATAATCAAATCGAATTGAGGATTTGGAGAACCGTTCATCCTGTCTTGCAACTCACAGCCTCAGTTCTGGATCTACGGTCAGGCTCCTCCTCGATGTTACCCACTTTTTTTCTCACTGTCCATTTCTGGTTAGTGGTCATCCTGCTCCCTACAGACCACTGGCTCTTATGTGTTTTTTGATATTTTATTTCCTGAGTTCGATTTTCTAATCTGTTGCTGGTGAATCTACAACTTTTCAAATCCGCCAGGACAAGTGCTGTTGTGATTTAGGGTAATACACAAATACATTGACTTGAATTGAATATACATAAAAATAATGGACAGAGGAAATAGTGTGAACCTAACCTACAAAAATAAACCAATCTCAGGTTAGTGGTCTGTATCTTTTCACTGCACTGTGATTATTCGTCGGTTTATTGCCTTGTGTGATTTTAATGTTTTCATTTCACAGCAGGATGATTATTCCTTTGGATGAAGGGAAACCAAAACTTAGAGAGGACACCCACCCAGACACAACACAAATTAGATATTGAGATATTAAGGGCTTATTAAACGAGCGCGAGGTCTGTACAGAGAAATATCAGACCGCTGGTTTTTTGTACAGACCGAGTCGTGGCGAGGTCTGTGCAAAAAGACCAAGGTCTGATATTTCTCTGTACAGACCGAGCAAGCGAGGTTAATAAATGTTTTATTACATGACTATTTTTCATTTGTGCAAATATTGATTGGTTTCAACTTGCAAAAACACATGCAACCAAACTGTAAAATGATGACATGAAGAACTTGCTTATCAGATGGTTGAGGTCGCCCGCTGGTAAGTTCTCGATCTCTTCTTTGTCTTTACCAATGCTTTTTAGATATTTGTGAAGTATGTTCATGTCCAACTTTTCATAATCGTGTTTTTACCTTTCTGGTCAGTAACAAAGTTGTCAATCTCTTCTTGACACTTAGGAGTTGTGTTTTCGTCGTTATTTGCTGTTATCACTTCCTCTGGCTCTTTGAACTCGTCCGGATAAAAGAATTAACTGGGAGAATGCTCCCAGTCATCGCTCATTATTTATTTTTTACCGAGGAAAGATATCAAATCTGATACGCGCTGCAGACCAATTGTCATGGTAACGGTCCGAGATGGGAAAATATCAGACCGCAAATCAGCCAATCAGAGCGAGCGTACGGTCCAAGTCATATAATAATGCATATTATTACATGGCTGACTCTCCAGTAATTGTGCATTAAGTGGATACAGCACATCCTTCCACTTAAGGAGACAGCAATCCAATGTGTTCCTCAGAGCCTTCGGGACTCAATACAGCTGTCACATTCACTCATTTGTTATGCATGTGAGTACTCTTTAAGTGAACCACATTAAGAGAAAGTAATAAAGTCTTACAAGTCGTTATTTTCACCTATTTGCACAAGAATTGATTGTAAAGATCAGCGTTAAACATCTGTACCTCAGTGTCTTTGGCTCAATAACTTTACCCTAATTTTGAGCTCATCTGTTGATTTTTATTGCTTCCCTGAGGATAGACGGCTTGCACACTCACTCCCCTTAACTCGAGGACTCCTTGAGCAGTCAATTTGATGGCTCCCATTAAAATTCAATCTTTTCTAAACAAATTGTTCAATAAGTGATTTTTTTCTCCAGTTATCAAAAGTAATGTGAAAGGTTGTTTATCTTCACTAATTTGTGCTAACATTATCAATACTTCTTGGATTACAACAAATACAATTTGTTGAAAGGCTAATGCTAACTTCTGACAGTAAACAGAGTGTTGCGACGGTAACTAGCACAAGCTCCTCTCCAGTGGGAACCCTGGAAGCTCAGCTAACAATCAGGACCAGTCCAGGGCCAGCATCTTGAGAATCAGGTCTTTAAATAAATCCCAGCAATCGAAAATGGCTACATTTGAAATGTATATATATATATAAAATAAGAAGCGAGCAATGACTGCTCTGGGAGTAGAACTCCTCACGTTTAAAAAAGTAATTACAAAATAGAGTTATAATATATACATTATAAACTACATATAGAAACAACCAAAGAGGTACATACGCTATGTATGCTTTTGAAACTAAAAACTGTCAATTTACCTGCACTGGGAGTTCTAGTGTTATAAGAATACCAGCTGATCTTACCTGTAGGTAATGACAGGTGCGGGTCTTCAGGTCGGTGTGCATCAGAGGCTTGTCCAGATTCAGAGACAACTTCCTGTAGTGCTCTTTGGCCTCGCGCACAGTCAGCGTGGACCAGGAACTCCTCTTCATGAACTTCCCCTCGGGCACCATGGCGACACTCTCACAGGTCGAGCACTTGACATCGTTGTTACTCCTGGAGGTTTTGAGCGAGTGGTCTCCAAAGTGATGGCTGTGTACGTGATCGGGATAGCAGTGATGGTCGCCGTGGTGTCGGGACATGACGCTGGCTGGCCGGTACGTGCTGTCGCTGTCCAGGTTGTCATCCGAGCTCCACCAGCCGCCCGAGCGATGCCGCCGCTCCTTGCTCTTGCTCCTCTTGCTCCCGTGTTTGGAAGGATGATAGCTGTGGTGGTGGTAGCTCCCTGTTCCTATGCTGTCGCCTCTTGTCCCGTTCATCTTGGATGATCCTTCGAGGGAGTGCGACTTGGTGAAGAGCTTCTGCACAGAATGAACCAGATGTCGGATGCGCCCTGGGCTCTCGCCGCGCTGCTCTGTTGTGCGCTGGTATTGCAACGTGTGGAAGCCATCGCGGTGTAATGGCAGCTGCTTCTCAAACTGGTCCATCAGGTTGGCGGGGAGTCGATTGCTTTTGGCGCCCGGGTGGTGGGAGGAAGCAGCGATCAGGGCTGGGGAAGTTGCAGAGGCCGAGATGGCTGCGCAGTCGTCTCGCGCAGCCGTGTCATAAAACTGGGAGCTGTAGTGCATCCTGGGGAAGGTGCTGCTGGAGATGTGCTCAATGGGGGCGGGGGGGGCCATCAGCACGGGGGACAGCATGCAGTCGGAGTGGATGGAGCTGCGCGGGGAGTAGCGCTGGTGGAAGTCCATGGGGCAGCTCTCGGTGGGGCTGAGCAGGTAGCTGGTGTGGCGGGACTCGGGGCCATGGTGAGGGTCGTAGTCCAAGCCGTGAGATAAAGGGATCTGGTGTTGGGAGCGGCTCCCCGATAAGCCCTTCATGGTACGTCCCGGTGGAGGACGTCTGCCTTCATGGAACTTTGGCGACGGAGACCAAGGGGAACTCTCCGGATCTGTTTCAAAATACAGAAAAGGAAGAACATGAACTATATTAAATCAATGAACCAATCTCACACAGTCCATCACAATTATTTGCATGAACAGATAAAATCATGGGGCAGCAGCATAGACTGTATACAGAGGGACAACATTGCAGGCTCAATGAACCCCTTTAGTTTCTCCAACTTTTTCTCTCACTCTTCCATGTAAAAGTAAACACTCACAAACTGTCACACTCACCAAATTGTGCCATTAAATCTGTGGTTTTGCATTCTCTGTGATCCTGGTGTTTAAATTGTGATATGGTCTGTATGACAGACAATATCAGAGGCCTTCATTCACAAGGAAGACTCCAGCTTCCCATAGCACGTCTGCCCATTAGCTTTGCGCTGTCATGGGCAGATGAATGGGCAGATGAAATTCCTATATAAAGCTCCAGCTAGCTTATGTTCAAATCAGCTTCTTCCACATTGAGGCAAACACTATGGTGATGTCACAATCGGTCAGTCCACTCCTCTCAAACACTCTATAGGCAACAGCCATAATGTTGTATCAAAGTGCAGTGTCTTCAGGAGAACCTCTCTGTGACCATTTTAATGTCACCAGAATCCAGAATTTAATCACCAGAATTCAACGCCACATTCACAATGTCAAAACCCCAAAATTATGTGTTTTCTTGCTTGACTTTATTCCAAGTATAATTTCAGAAAAGAGAAGAATGATTTTGATTAATGGGTAAAATTTAGGTAGATTATAGCCCTGACTTTATTCCAAGTTTATTATACGGCTCCTCACAGCAGCAGTAGAACGCTCCATTGATTTTAATGTAATTTCAAAACGTTCTACCGGTCATTATTTTTTATAACGGACCTCTCAAAACAATAATGGCCGCTGCCCATGGCAACGCACTCTCTGCTTGTCTTTCAAATGCATGGATAACTCCGCAAGTAGTTCCGGCCACTCCGGAGCTAGCCACACTCAATCAACACACTTAAATGTTAATCGGATTATACTTATACATATACATTATTAATTCACATGCACGGAAATTTTCAGAATTTTCTGGTCTTGTCTTCATGACAAAAATACTATTTCTCTGCGGCAAAAAGCGATTGTGAAAAACCCGGAAGTAGTTCCGGCCGCTCATTAAACGCAAATGCCAATCAATCAACGCAAGTAAATGTTAATCGGAGAGTACATTATACATATACATTATTAATACAAGTGCACGGAAGTTTTCAGAATTTTCCGTTTCCGTTTTCATGACAAAAACACTGATGTAATGCGAGAAAAGGCGATCCCGAAAAACCCGGAAGTAGATACAGGGCCATTTTAGGACACATTTGCAGAGGATCGAATTATGGATTTAAGTTAGGTTTATGTTCGGGTCACTCACCGCTGATGTTCAGTTTTCATGCAGTTCCAGAGAGTTCTAGTTTGGAAGTTGCTAGCCTTATTGTTGCTAGCATAGCCACGGGAATGCCTTTGGGAACTATTTTATTTTCTTTCATTAAATAAACCTTTTGGCATTCCTAAAAGTGGACTGAAGTTTATTTTGTGTGTTCTGTTGGTACAAAGCCGTATAATAAGCGGGTTAATGTATATTACACAGGTCATTATCGGAAAATAAGTATCTTCAGGGCGGAAGCAGACGCGTCGGGGTCCGTTTCACCGTTTCGGTACTTATTTTCCGATAATGACCTGCGTAATATACGTTATCCCTTACATATCAAATAAGTTAACAAATTAATTCTAGAGGTTCTGATTTTTCCAAAGCATAACATGCTTCTATTGGCTGTAGATCCAGGACAGAGGCTGTAGATCTAGGGCTGAGGCTGTAGACCCAGGACTGAGGCTGTAGATTCAGGGCCGAGGCTGTAGATCCACGACTGAGGCTGTAGCTACAGTATGTTTTGTCTGTCTTTAGCGTACTCTAGCGTACCAACAAAATGAGCAAAGGAAGAAAAGTAATATCTGCTCTTATCACAATACTCGTCACTGCTCTGTAATTAATGACTCTAAGTTCTGTACAGCAGGAAAACCCTGTTCGCTGAGCGTCTTACATAACGACTGGAAACTCACACACTTCTCTGAATGGAGTCAGAAATAAATACGTGCTGTTGTCACGGCAACTGCTGCTGAAAAACCAGGAAGTGTAATGGGATTTTCAAGGTTGTTTGGGGTGGATCCTGTGTACCCCCCGAAGGCTACACGCAGAGCAGAGAGTGCCATGGAAGTCCCCAGCAGAACGCAGATTACGCTTTCATGAGAACGTTCTTGCTGCTGCATTATCTTTGTTTTGAAGTGAAGAAGATGAGGAGGCAGCAAAGGTGTCTGCAGTAGAGTATCAATCGCCAATAGACCCGTTACTCCTAGTAGTACTGTTTGTATCGTGTTGGCATGATTTTAAGAAGAAATACATATTACTTATTATTCATAAACTAAAGAAAACACAATTACTTTGTCATTTTATGTTTTAGAATGTTTGATACTATCTTCGGTAGAAAATATATAGGAAAAAAAAAATCTTCTGTAACAGCCTATGCCGCCACCAGTTGGAACACTGGTGAAAACACTCCCAATTGGGGAAAAGTAGAGAAGAGCCAAGTAGAGTAGAAACAGGGCTAACATGCCTCCTTCAAGAGCATCTTGTGTCACCATATTGCACAGCCCAAGTACACCCTCTGTATTCCAGTTGTATGTTGTTGTAGTTAAAACTGTTGATCAAATGTTTTTATGATTTCTTCATCGTCACGGACAAAGCGGCTGCAAACCACAGGATCCTGATGACACTCACCACAGCTGAGACGATTAGCCCACATTCAGCTGCTTAGTAGTAATCTTTCATTTGGATTGATGCTATCGACAAATCCAGTGTGGCGTTTATTATTCAGCAAATGGAAAAATCTTTCAGAGCCGATGTGATACTTATCTCAAAAAAGGAGGTTTATATTGCGATACAATATATTTTTCTAAATTAAATGCTTTTGGTACCTTTTCTAACACACACATTTGAACAGTTTGCATGTTGTCCCTGTGTCTGGTTTTATCAGCTGCTTTTATATGGGAGAAACTCCAGCGTGTCTCAGCAACATATCTGCCCCTGTTATGGTGCTAAGCTAACGCCGTCTGAGCAAATACCATACGCCAATCCTCACCTAGCAGCAATCAAGCACTGCCCCACATGAAGCTCCATCCAAGCAGCAGCTTCATTCATGCCGCAACCCACCTGCTCCCCATCTCCTCTTTATCCCGGGCTAGCCTTTCCACACTTCTTCTGGCTACCACTATCAGTAGTGCAGTCCTCTATCGGGTCTAAGCGCCAAATCTTAACAGTTGTCATACAGCATGCAATAAATGTGATCTTGAAATTGTTGTCTTCAGAGACGTATATGCTAATTCATGTAGTGTCAGATTACTTGCTAACCAATATAAAATTCTAATAATAGCCCTGTTTTGCTCCAGATTGAATGGAAGATTTAATGCAGCGTACGTATGAGGTGTGGGTCTTCTGTAAACACATTGTTCCTCTCTCTGAGAAACTATCGTCCACTCTCTGCTGAACACTGGACAACAGCTTCAGATAGTCTCGTCCGCCAGAGCGTTTTGAGTGTTTCCCATTTGGCTTGTGTAGCCTGGCAAACATCTCACGTCTAGTTTGGCAAAGTACACAATATATTATTAAAGTCAAGATTCTACAATTCAGATTCACCTGCTGGAATAGTGCACACTTGTTATCAGTGCTTTTTGGAGGGAATTACTGTGTAATCTATTAGAATAAAGCAGAGCACAATACACACATACACGCACACACGCACGCGCACACACGCGCACATAAATACACACACATTGGCTACTTCTGCCCTTAACTTTGCCTCCCCAGATACTGCATGCTGCACGGAGATCAGATTGGAGGATTCGAGCGCGAGGGAAAGCCTTGGAGAAACCACGCAGCTGCCGGCTCTCACTGCGGCGCTGCAGTCGGTGGTCAGCTCTCTCCAAAGACAATTGTGTAACTGAATAAATGAGGCATCCTCCTCCACACTGAACGCCACGAGCAAGACGAGAGCAACAGGAAGCCAAACTATAGCTGCTCAAACCTTTTGTTAAATGATTTATTGATAAATGCGTAAAGGCGGTGTGCTTTAATGACCTCAGCAAGTTTCCAATCCACACAGCACCAATTAAAAGCAATAAGTTAGCAACACTATGGTTTAAAGGCTTAAATAACTCATGTCTAGAGGTTTTCAATAATTTCTATTAGACATAAGTTGTTGTCTCCTTCAGCATTGTGTAGGAGTTTAAACTCTACTCATAGTTTGCTCTGAGTAATGCGCTGATTTACAAATATAGCAGCAGCCATGGTTTTTGTGCCTTGTTAGTTATGAAACAATATCATCCTAGTGTTAAGACATAGCCTGGTCGTACCACACCATAGTACAAATTACATTTCGTACTAAGGTCTGGTGGTGCTCCATTGAGCTCCGTTTACAGGTGGGAGGGGTTAACTTCTTTTGCAGATTGAACCGATTGGATCTGAGTTTACCGTGATGTATGTAGTGCCCCCGAGTCTGTTGTTAGCATTCAGCATTTAGCCTAGCCATCTTCTTTGCCGCTAACGGAGCCCGTGGGGAGTAGCGCCAATTTTTTTTCCAGCAATTACATTTGCTAAACATTACCCTTGCTCCGGCTTCAATTTCTTGATAGAACCAGACCGGATTACTTTACTATCGCATTTTTCGCCATTACCAAACTACAACCTGCCCGTTCGGCGCAAACTCTTCACATCACCCACAACTAACGACAACACCCGCCTTCCACGCTCTCTGAATGGTTGGTTGAAATTCAACCGATTGTAATCGCTAACATGGGGACAAGACCCAGACGTTGCATGCAGTGAAATGATGATTGAACGGAGTGTACGGATGGCTAAGGCCAGGCTA